TTTTAAAAATACTAATGGAGTTTATGATATAGCCAGATTAAAGCTTTTGGGTCATCTGGTTGTTGATGTGGCCATGCAGGAAAAATCCCCCCACAAGCTGCAAAAGGAATATGGAATGTAAGAAGCCTGAACATGGAAAAACTCAACACAGTGAAAATTGAAATGAATGAATACACACCGATATCTCAGGTATCAGTGAATTGTTATATATTGTAATTGGACAGTTTAAGTCAGAAAATTACACTACCCATTATTCAGGACATCAAAAACCAAAAAAGAATTGCATTACTTTCATAATTAGGAAGGATATGACAAGAACATTTGACTATAGTGCAATCAGTGACAGAATATCAGAGTTTATGGACAACTCTTAAATGTGACAATTGTCCAAAATTTTCTGTAGAAAAAGAGGAGGTTTATGTACAATTTCTGAACACGCAAGCAAGATGTGCTACTTGTGGCTGGAGATAGGAAGACCAACACTGGAAATATTAATGATGAAAATATGTACTAAGAAACCAAAATGAAGCAGGAGAATGACTTACCCATTTCTATATATCCAATGCTTTCTTCATTGTTAACACAGTGTTTGAAAAACAATACAGACATCTTTAAATGGAGTACCCAGAAATCAAATTTACTACAGTATATTACTGGCACAAGTAGATGAAAGAGCTCACTTATTACAGCAAGTACATGACTGACTTTGGAGTAGGTCATAAACTGCTAATGGGAAAATTCCAGTTCAAGGTAGAGTGGAAGAACAAAGCCAATCACTTTCCATGTTATGATCTTGAGCATAAAATCATAATTTTGAAGAAGCACATCAGAATCCTGAACATTGATAGGGAACCAGAAAAACTGTGGATAAACTGAAGAAGTTGTTAAGTATGAATGTGAAAGAGACTGCCAAGGATCAAGAAATACAAGAAATCTAATGGATGTCAGAACTAATGGAAATTGTCAAGAAGGGAAGAGAAATCAAACCCATATAAAGCAAAGATAATAGATGGATATTTAATGAGGAATTTCAAAGAAGCTTATTCCTTACTCCAATTGTTTTGGTCTCACTTCCTTCGTGCATGACTGGCTTTCTCTCCAGTCTCCAATGCAGTCTTCTTTCTCTCTTCCATAAATATCCATATCCTCAACATTTGAAATGCCTTCAGCATTTCTCTTTTACCTATCTGCAAACAAGTGTGCTTCTTTGTTTTCTTAAACTCCTAGGGAACATCCATAAGGAAGAAAGACAGCTCATAAGGATGGAAAACTCAGATCAGCAACTCTGAATCTTTCCTTCCACAATATTCCTTATTTACAAGAACTTCTAGTACTAGAAGACGGCTAAATCAACACTCCAATTGGAAGGATACAAGGATTGATGGAATATCTTCAGAAACATGGCAAACAATAGAAGAAGAATCAATAAAGGTTATAACTAATCTATGTTAGCAAATCTGGGAAATGGTATAATGGTCAAAAGATTGGAAGACCTCAGACTGCATAGTGAGAGAGAGAGAGAGGGAGGGAGAGAGAGTATGTGTATGTGTGTGAGTGTGTGTGAGAGAGATTTACTAGTGTGCTACCTATCACACAATATCCCTAATTTCACATCCCAGTAAAATAATGAATTCATTATCTAATACAGATTAGACCCTCACAAGAAGATGCTGGGTGTTCGAGCTACCTTTAGAAAAATCTGAGGAACATACTGGTGCACGCTGGATAATTGAGAAAGTCCAAGAATAACAACAGGAAGTCAATATGTGTTTCAATTATTATGGAAAAACCTATGGTTGTGTTGTCCTCATCATACTGTGAAATGTATTTAGAAAAATGGGAATCCTCAAATATCTCACTGTCCTCATATAAAATCTAAGCAGGGGTCACGAATCTACTGTCTAGATGGAGCTATTGGTTCCAAGTCAGCAAAGGAATAAGATGAGACTGTAGACTCTCATTTTATTTATTCAATAATATGCTGACTATATATTCATGGAAACTGGATTAGAAGATGAGTGTGGCTTTAAAGTTGCAAAATCATTAATTATGCAATTTACTGGTGGGAAAAGTAGGGTTTTACACTTAGACAAGAAAAACCAAATGCACAGGTATAGAATAGGTGGTATGGGGCACAAAATCAGAAATTGTGAGAGGAATCTAGGGAGTTTAACTGGACAACCACTTAAGTATGAGCCAGCAGTGTGCGCCGGCTGCCAAAAAAGCCAATGCAGTCCTAGGCTGCATTAGCAAAAGAATAGTATCAAGAACATGTAGTGTTAGTACTGCTTTATTCTGCACTGATAAGGCCACACTTGGAGTCTGTATCCAGTTTTGGTCACCATGATACAAAAAAAAGATGTTGAGATTCTGGAAAGACTGCAGAGAAAGTGTTGGTTATCACCTTTAAAGCGCTCCATGGCATAGGGCCAAGCTATCTTCGAGACCGCCTGCTGCTACCGACGACCTCCCATCGACCCGTGCGCTCCCACAGAGAGGGCCTCCTCAGGGTGCCATCAGCCAAACAATGTAGGCTGGTGACCCTCAGGGGGAGAGCCTTCTCTGTGGGGGCACCTACCCTCTGGAATCAGTTGCCCCCAGAGATAAGGAGAATCCAAGACCTCAGTTCCTTCCGCCGTGCCCTTAAAACCCACTTTTTCCAGCAAGCCGGGCTGGCTTAAGAAGAAATTTTTAAATTTTTAAAATGTTTTAATTGGTTTGTGATTTTTAAATTTTTGGGCCAAATTTATATATATTTTAATTGTTCTTAATATTTGTAGTTTATGTTCTTAATTCTGGCTGTGCACTGCCCTGAGTCCTTAGGGAAAAGGGCGGTATATAAATTGAAAAATAAATAAATAAATAATAAATAAATAAAATCATGATTAGGGGACTGGAGGTTGAAACGTACGATGAACAACTGTGGGAACTGGTATGTCTAGTCTAACAAAGAGAAGGACTAGGGTTGATATGACAGCAGTCTTCTATTATCTGAGGAGCTGTCACAGAGAAGAGGAGATTGACTTATCCTCCAAAGTACCTGAGGGCAGGACAAGAAGTAATGGGTGGAAGACCATTAAGGAGATCCAATCTAGAACTAAGGAGAAATTTTCTCACAGTGACAACAGTTAATCAGTGGAATGGCTTGCCATATCTTGCTTAATGGATATGTGTTTTTGGAAATGCATAGACTGCATTTTTCTTATCAAATATTGAATGCAATAGGCCAGTGGTTCTTAACCTTTTCTTTACCACACACCCCTTTAAATACTTTTTCTGGCCATGGAACATGGCCATGCAACCCTAAGATTTAACTCAAGATTTAAATCATAACATTTCTTCAAGCTTTCACGGACCCCCTGTGATGACATTGCAGTCCCCAGGGGTCCATGAACCACAGATTGAGAACCACTTTAATAGGCAATATATTTTCATATTCCAGGTTGGTCAAAGAACAACCATAGCAAGATTCAGTGGTTTGGGATTTTAGGGCTTTGGGGTTCTGGGAATTTACCATCTTTGGAGCTTGATGGGTGCTACTACGCCAGACAGTCTCTGTGCATAATCTGGGGGTCCCTCTGGACCCATGATTCCTGCTTGGAAAGCAGCTACAGTTGTAGCCAGAGAGATTTGCACAGTTTTATGTTATGTGCCAGATAGGCATGTTCCTGGACTGGGAGGCTCTACTCTCAGTTACACACGCTCTGACCGCCTCACAAATGGATTCCTGTAACACACTCTAAAATGGAGTTGCCTTTGAAGAGCATTCAGAACCTTCATATGATGCAATATGCAATGGTAAAGGAAGTTATGTGTACTCCTTGCTTGGCAAACATTTTAACTCTTGTCTGTGAAGAGCACCAGTTGTGAGTTTGTTTCAAAATTAAACTCAAGATGCTGGTAATAATCTATAAAGCCTCACATGGTATAGGACTGCATTATTTGGAAGGCTGCCTCTTCCTAATCTCCCAGGTCTGAAAGGGTCTAAAGACATACTTGTGTCAATGGGCCTGGAGATCTGGATTATGGTTTGGATTGCTGGATTCACTAATTAATCTACAACTTGCTTTTGCCTGCTTTTTATATATTTTTTTGTTTTAAGTTTGGTTTCAATTAGGTTTTCCATTTTGTTTTAAGTTATTTTTTGCTATTTTCCTGTATTTTGTTTATTTAGTTGTTTTTAATTATATGAACTGCCCAGTGTCACAAATGGGAGATATAAATTGAGATACAAATTGAATGAATTAATAAATGAACAAGGAAATCTCCCTGCCTCTAAAATAAAAAAAATACAAATAAAATAAAAAGGGAAGTGAGTAATACATGAAAGCAGTATCTTATAGAAGCAATATATTATTTTAAATAAATCACATTTATATAAAAGTCTGCTTTAATAATAGTATTAATTCATCTTTCCCCCAAGTTTCTAGTTTCTTCTTTTCTATTAAAATATCCCTGCCAGACTTCTCTATTGCACCAAAGCACAGAGTCTGAGAACTGCCGGTCCATTCTGTGGTTTCACTGAATCCTTCATTCAATTTAATATAACACAGAAATTTAATCATTATGAGTCAGATTCTAAATTGCCCTTCTACTAGTATACAGTTCATAGCAAGTAAACCTTCTTACTTTCTTATTTAAGACAAAATGGATAATTAAGCCCCAAATTCATAAAGCCATCTGTACAATCTCTCACACAGATTAAAGACATTCAGCTACTTGCTAGAACAGATTTCTAGAACATTCATCAAAACCAGCTTCTTTCTACCTTCTGTGAAATCCCACTCAGACATTCTGAATCACAACACATGCTGATATCAGAAATATTTTCACCCACAAATTTAGGATGTTTGTTTTAAAATTAATTGCTAAATCAGCTAACCAGCCAACCAACTCAATCAGTTAATTCTTTGGGAAGGGAATCTTAAAAGTAGTTTCAGATACATAGTTTGCATAGAGACAACATACATTCCATATCTACAATGTTCAGAAGAGCGCACCTTTTGTGCCCTGCGCTTATCGGCTCGTTGGTTCTGATGATAGATGCGACTGAAGTTGGAGACAATGACAGGAACTGGAAGAGCAATGACTAAGACCCCGCTGAGAGAACAAATGGAACCAAATATCTTCCCAACTATTGTCTTCGGCACCATGTCACCATACCTGGGATAAAAAACAAAAGTCTGCTTAAGCACATAAGCTATAATTTGCCCTTTAAGAACTTAACAGTATCATTCCACTATGTGAACAACTCTTTGTATTGTTTTTGAAAGAGGCCCTAATATTGCTAGTTCACACATCAATTTATATGCATCCAGTGTGAGGAAAGGGAGGATATTGAAAAATATGGTGATGACATTTCAGTTATTGAAATCTAGTTGAATTGTTGTATCCAATCCTTGGAGCTGTGCATGTGGTGGATCAGTCCTTTTTCTTTTCAATCTTCTAGAACAGTGGTTCTCAACCTGTGGTCTGTGGATTCTGGGGGTCTGTGAGGTTGTCACAGGGGGTCTGCAAAGGCTTGAAGAAATAATATGATTTAAATCTTGAGTTAAGTCTTGGGGGTCCTTGATCATGGTCCATGGACCAAAACTATTGGGGGGGGGGGTCCATGGTGAAGAAAAGGTTGAGAACCACTGTTCCTCTAAATTGGAGGGTCTTGTTAAAAAATTCTTCTCTTGTCCTATAGAAGCAGAAATATTTTATCTCTACAAAAAGTTACCTTTGAATGCAACTCTTTGAAAATAAGGGATTCCTACAAATAAAAGAAGGCTAATGCACATAAATAGGTAAGGGAAATGTGGTCTCTCTCATTCATTATCTCAAAAAATGGATCATATAGTTGTATTAACTGAAACGAAATTCAAGGAAAACAAACAAAATTCCTTTTCCTTGTAAAAAGTAGTGAAGTGATAGGGGTGCTGTGCACGGTATGATGCCACCAATCGGCTCTGTAACTTTAGAACAGAAATATCTGTTTACAATGGTAAATTAGACTGCTGATAATTAGATAGAACATCTTCATTCAAAATAATGATATTTCTATTTTGAAAAGTTTTTGTCTGGCTTTTTAAATTCATGAGATGCAATCTGTAAAAAATGTTTGAAGTGATCAAGAGATTTCTTCCATTTATCTTCTCCTCCTCCTCCTCCTCCTCCTCATCATCTTGCTTACATCGGTGACTAGCTCTTCATAAATAGGAGATTCCCCTCAATGATTCCTAATATACCTAGGAAGGCTGGAAAAGACCTTCGCTTCAAATCCTGGAGAAATGTTTAGTTAACATAAACATTACTGAACTATAGCTAAACCAACAGTATGACTCAGTATAAAACATCACTATAAAATATCTTCATCTAATTCCATTTATTACTGTTGTGTATCACTTGTACAGAATAAAAACAGAACTCAAACAAGCAGATGGGCTTGCAGTAGAGGCAGTAGATCCTCAAGGGTATCCCATGAACATTAAGTTTTGTTGAATTTCAAGGCCACCTTAATTAAATTTGGGGCCCTTCAAAGTAGTGCATGTGAAGAATAAAACATGATGTGAAGAATCATCAGCTGCATTCTTCTTCCACCCTTCATTACTGCTCTAGACATACTTTGAATCGTATTATTAGTGCCATCCTTCTTTCCAAAAATCTATTGATGCCCTTGAAGTGTAGCAGCATGTTGCCTAATTGACTAAAATTTATTTCATGACAATAATAATTTATGTCATTGCAATAACAATTCAGGATAATACAACATGTCAGTTCTATATTCTAATTAAGATAAATTTCTGTACAGATCCCAAATAAAGGCAGTTATTCCAATCTAATAAGGGAGAAACCCATATGGAAATAGCCTCTCCATTTGTATAGCAGGAGGAAGACCTATTCCACTGCTGATATAATGGCCACTGAGGAAAAGTGTCTTTTGATGTGAATAGGTATATCATAACTGAAGAATAAACTTATGCCTTGCTTTAGTTAGTGCTAAGATAACAACATTTTTGTTTTCTTGTTCAGTCTGAAGAATAACAACTACATTGTGAGTACAGGTGTCAAGCCCCAAACCAAGACAGAGACATGAAAATTATTCCAACCCAGAGTTCTTTATTGTTCTATATTAATGGACAATGTCTATCCAGACCGAGGATTCTACTACCTCCATCTACAATTACTCTGCATGTAAAGGGAGGAGCTGTCTTCACCTTCTTCCTCTCACACGTAATATCTGAGCAGTGTTGTCTCTTACTCCTCTGGAAGGCAGCCTCTGGGGATCCACCTCCTCACAAGTCACTACATTCTTTCAGAACACTGAAAGTGCATATACACATAATTTTGTTTCTATTCAGGCACAGCTCTTTTCACAGAAGGTAAATTTCATTTTCAATGAGCACAAAAAGGAATATTCTTAGAAGCTTCTGATTTAAAAAGTCAAAGTGGCAACTGTAGCTGCCTGATTGGAACCCATGCCTTTTTATGTGTGTGTCACACACTGGTCACGTGTAAAAAAATAACATTTTTTTCTTTATTTTGAAAGTTAAATATGTCTGTCATAAATGCCACAAACACACATTTAAATCTCTGCTGAATAAGTGTTAAGAATGAATTTGGAAAGTCATAAAGCTAAAGCAGGGAACTAACATATTGCAGTAATCAGGAATTCCACCAGAGGATATAAAGTACCATTAGAAGATAACTGAAACAGGGAAATCAATATTTCATAATTCATACCACATGACACAAATGTACTCATACTTAAAAAATACCTTTCATTCTAATTCAATTACATTTTCTCCACGAAAGCTATAGGCATGTCAAAGAAAAAAAAAAGATGATTCAATAATTTTTCTTTTTTATCACATATAAAAAAGGGATTACAGAGATTGGAAAAATAAAATAAATAGGCGGCCATTTAACCTGACAGTACTCCTTTTGAAAAACAAGGTCATTTCTTATTAATGCATAAAAAAGATGAAAAACTGTAGGTAGTTATAATCAAGTCCCTGATAAATAAATGAGAAGGGAAAATATCAGATAGTGGAAGAAAATGAAAAGGGAGCAGAACAAGCAACTAATCTGAATTACTTCTATGAAAATAAAGCACTTACTGTTTGGAGAATTCACAAAGATATCTCGGGGCTTGGGAACTATAGCCAATTCTGATATGTCTTGTTATAATTTAAACAACAAAATGAATTGGACTTGGGCTGTTGGCAAGAGAGGAGCAAAAAAGTCAAATGTTTGTCACAACTATGTGACTGAAGTCATGTCCCTTTTTATATGTGTAACATTTGCAACTGCAATTTTGATGACATTGGTTCCAGATGTCTTTGATACCATTTAACTTTTTTTGTGCAAATGCTCTTGTATCTTCTTTTTTCACACTTTGTTTATGTAAGCTTGCCCTAATACAGTATGTGGGGCTTCTATTCAAATTCCCCAAGGGTATGAAAGCTTTCCATAAAACTTTCAAAAAGTGTACTGTTTTGGCTCAACTGTATCCAAAGAACTGTTTGCAAGCTTTTGCCAGGAAGCATGATGGAGAATATATTTGACTATGCTGATATTGCCTGGAGGAAAGTTGTCCATGGGGTCACGATGGGTTGGACACGACTTCGCAACTAACAACAACAACAACAACATGCAGATATTTGCTTATGAATGCACCATGGATAATTTTTTGTGGACAGCAATTGGCACTTTGTGCATAGTACTTCATTTCCATAGAACTAAAATTACATTACAGTAGTAAAACTACATAACAAAGGTAGAACCAAAAACAAGTATATGTTGATAAAAGGAAATAATTGCAAGAAGCTTTTGGTGGTCATCTATGTACATACAAAAAAACCCCCTTCACTGGTATTGAAAATAAATTCATTTTAACAATCCTATCCTGCAGTTTTTGCAGATATAATAGGGTAGTAAGCTTCGCAAGAGACAGAAACAGATATGAATACAAGCCTGCAAGCTCGATACAGTCCCTGTACACATTACACAAGAGATGATTTTGTGTCGTGTATACTGAAATATATTCAACATCTCCTTCTATTCGAGGAGATTTGGCCTGATAAATTAAGGCAGAATTTGCCAACTTGTGGGTGAGAAAAAAGAAAGCTAACACCATATTTCAGAGTCTCAGATTAATACTTAGCCTTTCTAGAAAAAAGGAACTCCAGAAAAGATGAAGCAGATCTATCTGATATTAATTTAGAAACAATAGGTAACAAGTTAAGAAGGGAAATTGAGTTAGATTATTGGTACTTATTTTTCTATCCTGTCCTGTCCTGTCCCTCCCTCCCTACCCCCCTCTCCAAGTACAGCAATTGGGTGTCCTTCAGTTTTTTATGCATATTTTAGATTGCACATGAGAAAAGTTTTTCTCCTTAGACTTTTTTGAGATTTGGAACAGCAATTTTGAAATCCCCCCTCAATCTTTTTATAATGATTTTTATTTATTTTTAGCAACCATCAACATTTTATGGTTAGTCTCGAACGCTATATTTTCTTTTGTAATTCTCATGTTAAAACTACTGTTTTCAGTTGAACTGCTCCTTAATTTCCCCTTCAATAGCTTGAATATACAAACATTTGCTATTGTTTATCTATTGTGTGATTAGATAATACAGAATAGCAGAATTGGAAAGAATCTTGGAGGTCTTCTAATCAAGCCTGCTGCTTGAGCTGGACACCGTATACTATTTCGGGCAAATGGCTGTCCAATCTCTTCTTGAATAGCTCTAGAGATGGAGCAGTGCACCCACAACTTCTGGAGGCAAACCATTTCAATGATTAATTGTTCTTACTGATAGAAAATTTCTCTTTAATTCTCAGTTGGATTTCTCTTTGATAAGCTTCCGTCTGTTACAAAAAAGATCGATCTTTCTTTTAAAGAAGGATTGACATCTTTGCCAGATGTTCTGATGCTGTTTAACAAAATACAGGCTACATGAATCTTTTAAAATGTTTTTTTAATGACACATAAGGCAACACTGATTGTCAAAGTCCTACTTCCCTCAACCCTCAGGATTAAGGGGACACCAAGTGGGTGCTCAGAGGGGATAGAGCTTAAATTTAGTGGATAAGGCACTGAGCTAGAAAGCAAGAGACTCTGTGTTCAAATCCTGCATTGTCCATGAAGCCAACTGGGTCACCAGGGGTCAGTCATT